GTCGCCCTTGATTTTGAGGGCGATTTAGGGGTCGGGATCTGCGTGGTGATGGCCGACCAGCGGCAAGGACGATGAGTCGGGCCGTCCATTTGGTTTTGGTTATTTGGTTTTAACAGAAACCAAACCAATTGGAAAGCTAATGGTTTCAGTTTTTTGGTTTAAACCAATAAGCAACTTATTGGTTTTGGTTTGGTTAAAACCGAATAACCAATAAAAACCATTAAGAATAAAATTATTTATCAACAAATATTTATTTTTTTTGTTTCTTTTGACACACATGTTAATCAATAATTTGTAATGGCCATTTACCATTATTATGACGTTTATTCAATAAAAAGAAGGGAAATAGGAATAAATATGAGTGTATGAGCAGTGGCGGAGCTGTGTTAACCGCTGGGGGTGCTTTGCAGCCCCCTTGGCGGGGCAAAATAATTTTCCAAATAGGATGAGTAAGTTAAAGGTAGCTGCTCAAGTATTTTAAGTTGGCGCAACCGAGAGTTAAAAAAGAAACCTAAATGAATGAATTGCCCGTTCTTTATTTTGCTAAGCCCCAAATCTCAAAGACGATTCTTGTGGAGTGGCGCGGGGGATAATCTCAAGACTCCTCTCGTCAAGTGGGAGATATGTAAAGCAAGAAAAGAGAATGGGGGCCTGGGCGTTAGGGACATGGCTTGTTGCAACAAAGCCTTGCTGTCTAAATGGCTTTGGAAATATGCCATGGAGAGGGGGAGTTGGTGGAGACAACTCATCGAAATCAAACACAAGGCCAGCAACTCTCAGTGGCAGAGTAAGCAGTGCAAGAAGGGGTTTGGTAGCTCGGTATGGGCTAATATTTCCAGAGAATATGATGAGTTTTGGAAAGTGGCTGTTATTGATCCGGGGGGCGGTGCTGGAGTTTCTTTTTGGAACGACTGTTGGGTACCTCAGACGACTCTTGCGCATTCCTTCCCAAGAGTTGCCGCTGCCGCTGCTACGCCCGAGGCTTGCTTATCTGACGTCATGATCCGAACAGGTGAGGGTTCCAATTGGAATATTGCTTGGGATATTGATTTCTGCTTAAATTTGAGGGGAGGGGCTGAGAGGGAAAGAGAGAGTTTCTTTAATTTCCTGAATTCTATTGATAAGCTCAGGGTTACTTGTGGCCCTAGCAGATTGGTGTGGTGTTCTGACCCCGATTCGAGTTTCTCAGTGCGTTCCATGTACAGGATTCTGACGGATGGGCGGTTCCCGGGAGTGCCTAACTTCCCTTGCAAATCTGTTTGGAGAAAGTGCGTCCCTTCTAAGATCAACACGTTCATGTGGTTGGTCGCGCATCAGCGGATTCTGACGCTGGACAAGATCCAAAAGAGGGGCTGCCAGATTGCTAACCGATGTTGTATGTGTTGTAGGGAAGAAGAGTCGGTTGATCACTTATTCTCACGGTGTGATTTCGGGTTGGAAGTTTGGATTGAAGTTCGGAGAAAGTGCGGGGGTTCTGCTGCTCTTAATGAGCGAATCATTGATACAATCCAAAGTTGGAAAACCGACACCCCGGACAACCCGAAGGATTGGGTCGAGTTCTGCATTCTTCATGCTGTGAGTTGGCAAATATGGCTCGAGAGGAACAGACGTGTGTTCCAAGATGTTAGCAGAACCGCCAAGGAGGTCGCTTGGATTGCCATCAGGAACACGGTGGACTGGTTAGTGGCTAATGGCAAGATCAGCAGGACCCAGGCGGCGGAGTGGCCTCGCCTTTCGAGAACTTTCTGACCTTGGGGCGGTTGTTGCGTGCCCTGTGTCGTGATGCTGTTCGCAGGGGAGGAAGGTTCGCTGTCCTTTCGTGGCCGGGTGGGAGGGTCCTTTTGTTGTGAGTGCTTAGCTGAGGGACGTTTGTTGCGGTCTGTTGGTTGAGCGCGCCTTGGCTTCGGCTTTCCTTTCGGGTTGTGCTGGCCTTGGTCTGTTGGGGTGGCCCTCTTGTTCTGGTGTAATTTTCTTCTTTTGTTTTCTGGGTTCCTTTTGTTATCTCCCTTGGCTTTCGTTCTTTGGGTTGCTGCACCCCTGGTGCCGCTCCCTTTCTTTTTCCCCTTTTCTGTTGTATTTTGGACTGGTTCCTTTTGGTTTTATTTTATGCAATGATCACCCTTATCAAAAAAAAAAAAATAATTGGTTAGCTTTTAATTACTTAAGTTGTTGGGGTTTGTTATCCTGCAGAATATAAGAATGGCTGGTTTTGGCTCGGGGCTTATGTGTACCAATCACTAATGGCAGAGTTGTGTAAACAGTGGGGGCGCTCATCAGTTTGAACTCATATATATTTGTAATCCAACAAGTTCAAGTACTTGTAAGGGATTGATGAGGTAGTGAAACGAATAAACACAAATTGTATAATTTATTTGTTTTTCAAGTTAATACTAATGATGCATGTTGCAATAACAGGTGTGTAGAAATCATTTTCATTCATGCAATATATCATGACAAATCTTCGAAACTAATGAATGATGGGTGGTTGAATGATGAACATATTGAACGAGATTTATGTGCTAATTTGGATAGGAATGTGTTGTATAATACTTTTAGAATATAAAAATCATCACCGTTCATTGTAAAGGGTTTGTTTTGAAATATTGTTATGTAATTGTAATATTTGAGTATTATGTTGTTACACTTTTTTTTATATTTAGAGTTGTCTTTTTTTTCCGGGAAGAAAGACACCCCCTTAGCCAATTTCCTGGCTCCGCCACTGTGTATGAGTACATGTTGGTTTTTTGGTTATCCAAACCAAAACCAAAACCATTAAGGCCCTTATTGGTTTTTGGTTGCCAAAAACCAATAAGGGCCTTAATGGTTTTGGTTTTGGTTTTTGAGATTTGATTTTTGGTTTTTGGTTTTTCATACTTAATGGTTTGATTAACCAAACCAAACCAAATTGACAGCCCTAACGATGAGTCGATGATGGTGGTGGAGTTGGCACAACAGAGACAATAATGGGGATGACGGGCGGAGGCAACGAGGCTGACTACGGTGGTGAATTTGGCTACCGGGGATTCGTGATCTGGGTGGTGAATGGCCGATCGGCGGTGACAACGACGACGTTGATTGTGTATTGCCGCTGCAGAAACGCTGACGATGAGCAGACGGTGACAATGGGACGGATAAAGGTGGTGATTTTTAAACTGACGAAGTTCTGGATTTTGATGTTGATGGTTGATCTACGATAACCACAACGATGGTGGTTTGCCGGTGAGACTCGACGGAGTCGGTGACCTTGCGTCGTAGTGGAAGCACCAAGAAAAGAGAAAAGGAAGGGATGAGAATGGAACGCTGCCTTTCTTTCCTTTTTTGACTTTTTTATTTATGCTTTATTAATTAAATCACCTAAACCAACCCAGTAAATCACAATCCCAAACGTGTTAACCGGTCCAAAGAATACGACGGCACCAATGCCGCTGCGGCACCACTGAAATAAACATGTGATTATCATGCCAAAATATGATAATCACGTGACTTCTTTGTATTTCACTGTTTTCTTTTCTCAGTAATATCAGTAATCTTTTGGTTAAAACAATGGAAACGTGTGTGGATGATTGTCTCATACTTAACAAGGGAAGGAGAGAAAAGGGAGGGGAGGGATTTATTGGAGGGGAAGCGCAAGTACCTAGAAGCTTTCCCCTGTTTTATTTAGAGCTAGAACAGTAACGGAAGAAAGAAAAAAAAGGGAAAAAACACTGTTGGAAGCTACCCTCCAAATCAGAGGAAAAGCTGGGCTGGGCTGTTTTATTTTTTTTTTCTCCTTTCGCTACTTTGCTTTCACTACTTGTGTTAATTTATCTTTTATTTGTTTGGGTTAATTACTTCTATTATTTTATTAGACTTTACTCTCGCTACTTATTCTCTCGTTGGCTTTTGAGAATTATTAGAGAGTGCTTTTATAATAAAATAATTCAATTTTGAATACTGTTTCGAAAATCTCAAATTATTAGCGAGTGGAAATTTAGGGCTGGAAGTTTGGTACCGGTATTTGGTATATACTGAATACTGTATCAAATTTGTCGATATTTGGTATTACCGAAAACATGAATTTTTTTCTAAGATTGAGATTGGAATTGAAATTTCAAGTGTAATTCGGTATTAGGAATTATGAGATTGAGATCGGTATATACCGAAATACCAAACAATAGAGAAAAATAATATAAAATATGGGAAGCAACTAATATTAATCAATCAACTGTTCTAGCTCTAGGCAGACTCCAACTTCTTGCTTAGTCTCTTTGTTCTAAATTAAACATTCAAATCTAATTCATATATTTTATTATTAATTATAAATTTAAATAATTTCATACTCGATAATACTGATCAGGATATTGGAATATCAATTGGGATACCAAAATATTTAAAAGGGATTAGGTTTGGAATACCGAAATTATTTTGGTATTGGGATTGATTTTAGAATATAATTTGGTTTTCGGTATTGGGATACCGATATCTTACCGATTTTCACCCATAAGTGAAATGGTCTAACTGAGGTTCAACCGGTTTATGTCGATTTTTATCAGTTTTGACAGACATCGACCGACTTTGATTAACACATAATTGAATTATCTTGCTATTACATAACCAATAAAATAACATATCTTTCACGGCTAAATTACACGTTTGGTCACTCAAATTATACAAATCTTTCACGTTTGCCACCTGAATTACTTTTCTTTCTTATTCGCCACTAACTTTACGAATCGTTTCACGGTTGGTCACCGGCCGTTACACTCTGTTAAGTTTGTCCTACGTGGCAGTCAACTATAAAGTTTGACCGTTAACTAGATGACGTGGAAATTAAAAAAAAAATTTCTTTCCACCTCATCATTGCACTTATTTTATCTATATAATTTATCATATTAATAATTTAATAAAATTTAATAAATTACAAAAAATGGGCAAATCAAATTCCGGGGAATCACGTCAGGGCGGTGGTTATAATCCTTTGCGAAGCACTTGCTCAGAAAGTCTATTCCCGATTCCGACAACTACCCTGGAAATTCCGGTCGGCATCCATTCCTGACCTCCATTTCTCTTCCCGTTTCTCTTTTCCAAAGGCCCTCCGTCGAGGCACTGAACGATTCCCGGAGTACAGATGAACTTGCGGATGACTTGGTGCTCGACAGAGAGCTGTGCCGAGCGTGTTGATCGCCGCCGCCTCCTTTGAGTTGACGCTTGAGGATCTTGGTTCTCCACTCGTCCAGCACATCATCGATCTCGTAGGAGACGTCCACGAGCTTCTTCAACCATTTTTTGATGCCTTCATCCTTCCATTGCTTCTCTTCTGCATCCAACAGCAGAGCTCCGATGGCGGTGAAAGTGGATTTGAGCTTCTCCACATCTTTCGCAGCGCCGAGGACAAGCTTCCCGTGTTTCTTGAGCTCTTCGGCGGTGATGGAACTCAGCTGGGTCGAGACTACAGAAACAATGGCTTCTGCTATAACCATGATGATGGAAGCGAATTAACCTGATCAGCTTTGAGGAGATTGACCGATGATCCCGACGGCGGCATTTCTTTGGTACCGTGACTGCACTGGTGCCGTCTCATTATTCTGGCCGGTTTGATTAATATAATTGTGATTTGGAATGGTTGAAACCAGACAGATGGGTTATTATTTTGGGTGGGTTTGATTTAGCTAATCGTCGATTCTCACCAAAAATCCACCACCATATCATCGCCGTTAAGCATCTTGCGCCGACCGACTATCCCCACCAAGATCTCGAGCCCCTATCAGCTATGTTAATCTGTACTTTCCGCCGATGATCAAGCCATTAAGGGAGCCTGCTGCTGCAACTGTTCGTAGATCGATTTCCAGTAGAACTGTTCGACAAAGATGCACGATTGTTTTGGGGGAAGAGTGGCTGCAATTGATAAAATAATTATTTTGATGAGTTATAAACAATTTTTCTCTTCCGGCCGAGTATAATAGGTTCAACCTGTATTGGTTAGGTAGTGATTATTGATCTATGGTCCTTATTAAATATAATTAATCCAACGGTTGAAAAAGGGACGTCACTAGTGCCGTGCCGGTACACAGAAACGACCTCTAGATGGGAAGCTAGCTGGGAAAGGAATGGAAAACAAAAGAAGAATTTTCATCATTTTTTAATTTATTAAATTTTATTAAATTATTAATATGATAAATTATATAGACAAAATAAGTGCAATGATGAGGTGAAAAGAAAATTTTATTTTTTTTTTATTTTTTTTATTTCCACATCATCTAGTTAACGGTCAAACTTTATAGTTGACTGCCACGTAGGACAAACTTAACGGAGTGTAACGGCCGGTGACCAACCGTGAAACGATTCGTAAAGTTAGTGGCGAATAAGAAAGAAAAGTAATTCGGGTGGCAAACGTGAAAGATTTGTATAATTTAAGTGACCAAACGTGTAATTTAGCCTATCTTTCACACTTCCCAATATATATTTTCCCTTCCACTTTCCTCCATAAAACAACATTTTCTCTTCCATTCAATTTTCATTTCCCTTCATTTCCCTCGCTTTCAAATTTTCCTTTCTCTTCATTTTCCTCCCTTCCTTCGGAAACAGAGTGTAAGGGACGGTCTTGCTAAAAGCCTAAAACGTTTTTTTGTTAGTGTGCTATTAATACTATCTTCGATAAATCATTTCTTTTATTACTTTTCAATTTAGAACACAATTGATGAGGGTGAGGGGCGAAGGGGCACACTTGTCAGCAATGAAATTTTGAAAAATGCAGTATTAGCGTGTGTGTAAGGGAGAATGAGTGCATTAATTGCGGAACACCAAATACAGACCAAAAAACAAGAAATCACACCATAATAAAATAAAAAAGTTTTGAAAGCGTACCACAAGTTTCTTAAAACATATCACAAAGGTTAGAAAGCACACTATAATCTCATCACACCATAAGTTTATAAAAGTACACCACAAATTTTTTTAAGCAAATCACAAGTTTATAAAAGCACATCACAAAGTTTCTTGAAGCAGACCACAAGTTTAGTCAAACATACCACAAGCCCCATGAAGCATACCACAAGTTTATAAAATAGTACCACAAATTCATTAAAGCATATCAGAAAGCTCATAACCTTGGACCTATTTGTAAATTTTAAAAAGTTCAGATGTCAAATGTATGAAAATAAACTTTAGGTACTAAAATGTAATTTTTCAACAATATAGTTCCACCTCTAACACTTTATGTGCTATCTCATCAATAAATTTTAAAGCATACTGAACTTTTAAAATCTTACACACGAGAAAGCCCATTCATCTCTTCTTTCTCGGAAAGATTGAATTGGAATCTATTTGGCAAAGCCTGCCATGGGAAAGCCTCAACAACTCGAATAATGATTACCCAGTTAAACGTATAGTTCGACCTCTGGTAACACGGTTGGATTGCTAACTTCTTTTCATTAGGGACGGGAGTAGTTGATTTAGCAATTCTAGTCATCATCAATCCAAATCCTGCCACAATTGTTAGATTTTTCATCTTTTTCGATTCGGAGGCAAAGGAATGGGAGCCAGATCATACTGATCTCTTACCCGAAATTTTTCATTTTTTATTTTATATTTGATAATTTAATAGATATGGTTATACGTTAATACACCATTGGATTAATAAAATTAACAGTGGTGCATAAGGTCTTTTTCATCATGTTCATTCTACAACAAATTTCAGAACCGAGATTAAAACTCAATTGCTTATTCTGCTAATCGTATTAGTTCGATTTGACACCGGATTAGAGAGATGGAATCGGAAGACAAATTTCAAATTTGGGACAATTAACCACTTCTCTTTTGAGTAATCGGTTTTGTTGGGACTTTTTGGGACGAGGGTACACGTACGATAGCCCGAGACCGGGTGATTAGGATTATGATAGAGTCGTGAACTACGTTCACTTTCCGTAAAGAATATTTCCACCCTCAACAAGCCTAGGGTTACAGAAAATTTCTTCATAGGATAAAACTATCACCACTTTAGGTTCCAGGCTTAAGTACCTAAAGCATACTTAAAAGTTTAGTTGGTAGAAGAATCGATTTTGGTGTGTTCATTGTCTCCACCCGAACCACTCCATTTATATTGGACGAATGGGTGCTTTGAAAAGTTGTAATCTTTCAATTATGTGGGTAGTTTCATTCTGCCAAACGTTGGCATTATCTAGTGGCAAACTGCCATTTTTACCCAACCCACGCAACCAACGGGGAAGATAAATAAGTGGTCTTTCATGGAGATTTAATTAAATTCAGTGGACATGTCTCTTCATGAGGAGATGCTTTGTTTTGCCATGCATTGCCATGTTTGGCAATTAATGGACGTCCATGGAAAATTGAATCAAAGAATGTTCAATTATTTTAATTAATGGACACCTCCATCCATGAAAATGACATCCAAATCGGTTCGGTCAGTTTTGATCCAAATCGATTCTATTAAATCTCCAACAATCCTCCCCCATTTTAGTGTATTTTTAGAATTCACTAAAATCACAACATTCTTCCAACAAAACTTAAGCATAAATGAAAATGTCGTGACGATTGAATTTTCACCTTAGTATATTACACTTGACGAATACTCGAATACAAAGGGTGTCGGTAACGATTGAACCCATTGACTCATATGAGTATTCGAAGATAATATACACTTAAGTTTTCAAAACTTCATAAGCGCCTTGACACTATTATCCGCCATGTGTCCAATCCTTCTCATAAGCGCACACGAAACCAAAGTTCGGGTTTCTTGAAGCGGCTACACTTCATGCTTACGTAGGTTGAATCTCTATTCGTGTAACCGCATAATACACTTTTTCAAAGATTCAATTAAGAAGTTTTAAACTTCATCCTCTTATCTCATGCAGGATAACAAGCACATACCTCGGGATGACAATTTTGTGCTTCAATTTCTGATAATAAGCTTTCCACATTGAATTCAGCCTCTAATGTTGTATTAGAGGGGAATTGGGTGTCCCATTACCAGAAATTATATGGACTTTAATCCATCCCTTTCACAGACTTAATCACCAAGTCACTAGTTAAACACTTCGTCAAATGATCAACCACATTAATTCGAGTTTGGTCATACTGTCTAGACACAACACTATGAATGATCAGTTCACAGCTTTTACCGTGCCATACTCCCACATGACCGTACTTATCATTTTCACTTGACTATATGCCTTAGCCAAATTAGCATTACTATCACAAAAGATAGTAATAGGTGAGATTTGTTTAGGCCATAGATATATGTCATAAACCAAAACTCTCAACAATTATGTCTCTTCTCTAAGAGAAATCAAGGCCACACAAACTTTGATTCCATAGTGAAACTTAGTGATGCAAGTTTGCTTTCTAGAGGCCCAAATTATGGTACCTCTCCCAAGCAAGAGGACCCATCTCAATGTTGAAGTATCACCTTTAACATGAGAAATCCAACTAACATCAACAAATCCTTTCCAAAATTGATGGAAAGCCACTATAAGTCAATACAGTGTGCCTTTGACATATCCCAGTAGACTCCTCATTTCATTTCAAATGATGAGAACTAGGATTCCAACTAAATTGTTCTATCACATATGCGATATCTAGCATCATGCAAGTCATACATACATCGAGCCCCCAATTTGACATGTAATACTCCCGTTGTAAAACTGATTTCCAGTATTAACCATAAGTTCCATACTTGGATCCATTGGGGTCTTTAACTCACTAAAATTCCTACTATGGAATTTATGCAAGTACCTTCTCATGCAGAAAAAATTGAGAGAAGGACTCTTTCTTGTCGTTCCGCTTGATTCAATACACAGAATCACATTTGCCTCCCCCATGTCCTACATGGAGAATTGAAAGAACACTTTTTATCAAAGTTCACTTATCTTTTATTGGTTGCAAAGATAAGCATGTCTTATACATACAAATGTATGATGACTTTATTACCAGAATCATCATAAATTGTGTACACATTTTATCTCCTTGGTTTAAAATAACATAAACCACTAGACAAAATCACTTATCTTTGATTGGCCTCAAAGATAAATATGTCATCTACATACAAACACAACGACTCTATTACCAGAATCATCAAACATTGTATATACAATTTTGTCTCCTTGGTTTAAAATAACATAAACCACTAGACAAAATCAAACCGCCAAACCACTAGACAAATCAAAATTGTCTAGAACTTCAAAACGTCAAATAGATAATTAGATAAATTAACCATTGAGTATGTGACCTACATAAAGGCAATTGTCATTCTTCTATTTCTCCATTTTACGAAGTCTTCTCCAATTCTTCCTCATCCTTGAAACACCCCTCTTCCAAATTACCTTCCGGATATGGAATACACCATGAGACTAGTACGAAGAAAACCCATCTTCTACTGCCATCGATGAAAAACTCATCATCGAACATTCTCATAATTCCATAAACCGGAACCTGTTTCTTGTAAAGAGCGGTTCAAGCCATCGTA